CCCACCCCCCCTTGCCCCTTTCTCCCATTCTCTGGCTTGGCTCCCGGTGCCAGGCCGAAATCAAGCTGCTCGAGCGGCTGAACAACGAAAATGTCGTGCGCTACCTCGGCGCCATCCGCACCCGGCGCCACCTGAACTTGGTCATCGAGTGTGCGCGTCCTCCACGCCTTCGCACACCTTCATCAATGGCCACGAGTCCCGAGCTGACCTCTGTTCCTCCTCCCGGTTCCCTCGGACCTCGCCTCAGACTGTGACGGTGGCAGTCTCCAGGACTTGCTCAAGAAGTTCGGCCGCCTGCCCGAGCGCCTGGTGGCCGTGTACATCCTTCAAACCCTCAACGGGTTGTCATACCTTCACCAGGAGGGTGTCATCCACCGGGACATCAAGGGCGCCAACATCCTCCTGACCAAGGGCGGCCTGGTCAAGCTGGCCGGTGCGCTGCCCCCTTGCCTGGCCCCGCCCCCGCCCCCGCCCCCGCCCCCTCCCCCTCCCCAGCTTGCATTTGCCCATCCTGTGTCCCGGCGCCCCTGACCATGCGGCCTTGCTTCTCCTCTTCCCGCCCTGGCCCACCAGACTTCGGCATTTCCATGAACACGGCCGGCGATGGGAATGGAACCATCTCGGCCGCTGCCGGGCGCCGGTCGGCCGACGACGAGGACGACTTCAATGCCGGTGTCGGGTCCCCCTACTGGATGGCGCCGGAGGTCATCCAGCTGGAGGATACAATCACCGCCCGGGCGGACATCTGGTCTCTCGGCAGCACGGTCATCGAGCTGCTGACCGGCGAGCCGCCCTACTTTTCCTTCCAGCCCATGGGGGCCATTGTGCGTATCGTGCGCGACGAGCATCCCCCCCTGCCGGAGCTGGCCTCGCCCGGGGTCAAGGCCCTCCTGCTGCGGTGCTTCCAGAAGGACCCCTCGCGGCGGGCCTCGGCCCAGGAACTCCTGCAGCATCCCTTCTTCACGGCGGCCGTGCTGGACGCGCCGGAGGAGCCGGGCTCCGAAGCCGGCAGCACCGGCCCCAGTACCCCGACGCAGGCCGGCTCGCCGGTCCTCGAGGGGGTTGGCAGCCCTGGCGGCCCGGGCCCCGGGGCCGGGGCCATCTCCAGTCCGGGCCCGGCGCTCGGCGTGTCGGCCGGCCGGCGGGCCTCCCGCGTGGCGGCCCTGCCGCTTGGCTACTCGGCCAGTGGCTTCCCGAATTTGGTCATCCCGTCGGCCGGCGGCGGGGCCACCGGGACCGATCCCTCCTCGCCGGTGGTCGGCGGCATGCCGCCCCCCTCGCCGTTGACGCGCACCCTCTTCCCCCCGCCCGGGGGGGCCGGTGGGCACTCTCGCAGTGGGTCCGGGTCTTCCCTGCCTCCGGGTCCCGGGGACAAGAGCCTCCTATCGTCGGCTATGGCCATGGCGGCGAATGCCAGTGCCGATCTCGGGGGCTTTGCCCATGGGAAGCCCTTCTCGGTGCGTCGTACCCATGCCGAGGGCAGTGACAATGCGTGGCACGAGGGCCGGCTGTTTGGCCGCCCGCCTGCGCGTGGTACTGCTTGGCCATCGTCCGCCCGCCGCCGTCCTCTTGCTCTTCTCTGCCTCCTCCGAGGTTCTTGCTTGCGGCCTTGTCTCCACAAACTTACACTGCAGTCCCGTCTCTCTCTCTCTCTCTCTCTCTCTCTCTCTTTCTCTCGTTCTCTCTCTCGTTCTCGCTCTCGCTCTCGCTCTCTCCCCCCCTCCCTCCCCCCTCCCTCCCCCCTCCCTCCCCTCTTCCTCTCCCTCCCCTCTTCCTCTCCCTCCCCTCTTCCTCTTCCCCATTCCCAGTCTGGTATCCAGTTCGGTTGCATCCGCATCTACGGCGACACCATCCGGCCGGACTCCCCCTTCAAGACCATCTACGTGGCCGAGACAACCACGGCCTCGGAAGTGGTGGCCCTGGTCCTGCGCAAGTACTCGGACCACTTGCCCCTGGACATGTTCAGCCTGTATCAGGAGCGCCCGGACACCGGGGAGATCCGCCAGCTGCCGGACACGGCCCAGCCCCTGCGCCTGATCATGGGGGCCGTCGAGCACCTGGGCGCCGACTCGCCCTTCAACCGGGCCCGGCGGCAGACCTCGCAGGCCGGCGGCCTGGGTGCCACCGGTGGTCCCGGGGGCGTGAGCGGCGTCTCGCGCGAGGTGACCATGGCCGCCACCCTGGCTCTGGATTTCAAGCTGTCGGTGCGCGCGCATGGGCAGTCGTACCTCGGGGCCGGCGGGCCGCAGGACGACCTTGGGTCGCCCTTTTCCGATGGGCGCTTCATCGATGGCATCGTCCGGCACCGGTCCTTCGGCCGGCACGCGCCGACGGCCCCCTCCCCGGACATCGGGGCCCCCTTGTACTTGATGGCCGGCGAGGCGCCGGAGGCCGCGACCGGGCGCAACTTCGGCCTATCCTCCCTGGCGACGCGCGACGACGCGGCCGACTCCTCCTGGACCGAGCGCCGGCTCGTGGTCAACTGGAGCCAGCGGTACATTGCCCTGCTGAAGACCGACAAGCAGGCCTCCACTCCGGTGTATGTGCTGCACAGCCTGGCCGCCGTCCGGGGGGCGGTCCAGCTCCGGCTGGACACCCAGCGTAACATCTACGAGTTTGCCATCATCGAGCGTCGGCGGACCCCGGCCCCGGCCCCGGTGCTGGTGGCGGCCCCCTCGCATGGCGGTGGCGGTGGTGGCGGTGGCGGCGCCGGGGCCGGGGCCGGTGGCCCGCTCGGGGGCGGCCCCCTCGGCGGTGGGGCCCTCGGCGGTGGGTCCGGGCCTTCCCTGGCCGGTGGGACGCTGGAGCAGTTTGCCGCGCCGACCGGGCCCAGTGGCTCCGGCGAGGCGGGCCCTGGGGCCGGCGGTGCCGGGCCCGGCGGCCCCGGCGGCCCCGGCCCCGATGCCGGCTACTTCAGCACCCCCGGCAGCGAGTGGACCTACCACAAGCTGGTCCTGCGGACCTCCTCGGCCCAGGAGCTGACCGCCTGGATCACCATCATCCAGGCGGCCACGGCCGAGTCCGACTCCAACACCCTCTACTGGTCCGGGGGGATATCGCGCGCCGGATTGGCCGCCACATCGGTGGCCACCGAGTCCCGACTTGCCGGGTGTGCCGGCGCGGCCGGCACCGCCAGCGCCCTTCGCACCGGGCAGGACTGCCTCTTTTTCGATGACCACAGCCATGGCTTTGATGGGTGGAGCCTGCCCTCTTCGGTCGGGACGGATCCCGGCCCCGGTGGCTCGGCCGCTGAGGCCGGGCGCTCTGCGGCCACCGCCGCCGCCACCACCGCTACAACTGCCACTTCTTCTTCTTCTTCCTCCTCCTCCTCCTCCTCCTCCTCCTCC